GCAGTAGGTGTCAATGAAATATGAATGGAGATTTCTTTTGGTACGCAGGGAATTAATAAGGTCTGCTGACACTTCATCACAATGAAAGAATACATAAGTGGAGTTGCCAGCTTCCCTGACTCTTATGAAAAGATCCTGATTTATATGAAAGAGACCTTGGTTTGTTGCTATGGGTGGTGAGGCAAGGGTGGGTTTGTGCCAGGGATGGGGCCATACAGGAGAAGGTGCCTTGCAGCACAGCTGTGCTACAGCCCAGTGGCACCACTGTGACCTGGTCCTTGGTACCATGCTCCAAATGCAGCTGGTTGGCACTGGGGGAAGGTGTTCGTCAGCTGGGTTGGTAGGTGGGAGCCCAGCAGAAGGGGCTGCGGCACCGCTTGGTGCGATGCAGATGTAATGGTGGGAGAGAGCAACAGGGGGGAATGCCCTGTTCTGTGGGTGAAGCTTGGGCAACCCCCAGACTGCCTGGCAAACCACCGACACAAGCCAAGCGGCACCCCAAAGTGGCACGCTTTTGCCAGAGAAAGAGCTGGCACCAGAAGTATGGCTTCCTGAACGGCTTTTAAAAAAAAATCAATTCTTACAATATAAACATAAGTCCATTCTGCTGCTGTAATTCCATCACTGCCATCGGGTTACTTCAGGCTTTAAATTGTCCTTGATCACAAAGAAACTCCTGATGAAGAACGAAGGAGTCTTTCTTATTTTGGGATTTTTGGGCCAAATTCTTGGTGCAGGTCAGGTACAGTCAAGCGGTCCTGACTCGTGCACTTGAAGGTTTGGTTGATTTTTCTATGTAAATTTTACCGCTGTGTTGTGCTTTCTAACACTCAGTTTATCAATATAAAATATCCTTCCAAACTATGAATTCTAATTAATAATTTGTTGTTGGTAGTCTTTTAACGATCAACGATCATTCATCATCAGCCAACAGCTGCATCGTCTCAATGCCTTGAAGTGATTTGTGTTAATGAATTAAACCTCAGAAGAAAGAAACCAGTTCAGCTCCCAGGTATTCAACACAAACCCTTTTTTAAAAGACTAGGCAATTGCACGGCATAACATAAGCTGGGGAATGGAGAATGGTAACATATCCAACTGGAAGTGCAGGGGGATTTAGAGAGGAAAAATATAATTACCTGATCCAGAAAGAAGCCAGACACAATGTTTAAAAACTCATTTGTAGGAAATGTATCTTGGAATCCTTAGTGACTGCAGGACCATAAGACATGGCACATGTTTTCTGTGCTTAGAAACTAAAAGAAAAACAAAGACAAAGGAAATCTGTATTTTTTTCCCCCTTCCTGATTCTAGAAACATCTTCTGCTATTTCAGAAACCAGTGTAACGTGCACAGAGTTATGACTCAGTATCAGAAAAAAGCAGAAACATGGAAGGTACCACTCCAAAATGAAAGTCAGCCTTCAATGCTTGCAAGAAAAAAAAAAAAGCTTTTGCGGAGAAAACTAAAGAAAAATAAGAAATGTGTTGAATTTGTTTAACTGCACTTTCATAAAGGTGATCTATGGAAACAGCCAAAGAAAAACAAAATGCTCCTGTTTCCTTCAAGCTCTGTGGGATGGTCCTCCCTTCCTGGCAACAGCTGGCACATGAGCCCCGAGTCACCAGTGCTCCTCCTTTCTCCTTGGGCATCGGGACTCCAGATACAGAGATAATATTTCTAAAATACTAAACTTTTCATGTTGCTTAAATACCTCTCTGTGCAGCCGGAGATCCTGGAGTCTGGGCAGGGGAGGCAGCAAGCGGGCAGGATTCCTGAGCTCTGTGTTATCCACCAGCCCAGGCAGAGGAGCACAAGGGGAAGGCGGTTTGTGCCAGAAAGATTTTTAGCAATTTATTTTCCTGTGGTAGGGAGCAGGACTAGCCTTTGTCTTAATCTGTTCTTCCTCCAGTCTTTGTTGAATGTGGGGTACGTGAAATTTAGGGTTAGTGAAGTTTATGGTATTAAGAAGTTGGTGCTGGACAAATAAGGGATGCTCGTATCAGTTTCAGCAACAGCTGCTTCCTCTGTTACAGCAAGCGGCAAGCTCATGTGCAATGAATCTGGGGGGAATAAAAGCCAAGTTCAGAAGTACTTGTGATGCTAATTAATTATAAATCCATGGCCAATAGAGTTAAAGCTGTACAAATGACTCTTATTCATGCAAATGCAGGTCTGAGAATTGGGAACACTTTTTTTTTTTTTTTGGAACAAGGGAGAAGAGGTATTTCAAAATTGAATTGAAAAGTTGATCAAACTGCTTTCAGATTCACATGTGTTTCATGTGATGCAAACCATGAGGTTTTAATTAGCTTTTGAGCAATCTTAACCTAAAAAGCAATGCAACCAAACAATAGGTTGGTTTAAACACAAGCTGTTATTGCCTCCTTTGTTAACAATCAAGATGAAATCGCTGAGAACACAGATGTTTCTGGTCAACCCAAAGCTGTACTTTGGGAGGGATTTTTGTCTGAAAACTTAGTGCGATCATAGCCAGGGTATTTCTAGGGGCAGAAAAGGGCACCGTTATTATTGTTATCTTACAGACAGAAGCAGGGAGTCTGAAAATTGCAGTCACCCAGGAGGAAAATAACACCCCAATGCCTGCTGTGACTTCAGGGGAGAGCTGAGCCCCTTTCAGCCACTTTGCTGCAAGCCCTGCTTGATGCCTTGTGTCACCCTCAGAGCATCCGGTTGCAGGGGTAATTTGTGGGTTCAGCTCAAGTGCTTTAATTAGCAGCAGATGAACATCCCTGAAAAAAAGGGCAGGAGCTAATGAGGATGGTGAGTTTCTAGACGGGAAGGGGATGAAGGCATCATCTGAGGGCTACAGGAGCCAGTGGGAGAGTTTAATTAACTTGGTGGCTTTTGCAGAGGTCTGAGGTGAGAGGAGGGCAGGGGGCTCTTCAGAGAGGTGAGACAACTTCCATTTTGGGGCCATTTCTCTTGTAAAACAGCTCAGTTCTGGCCCAGCTGAACTCTACCACCTCTCAAGGTGCTGTGGCATGTTTTGAATTGGATTCGTATTTTCTGCCCTTTCCTTTCTGCGCTCACCAATACCCAGCGCAGCACCTGAGCTGCATCCCCTCAGCCAAACCTGCCCTGTGACTTAGGACTGGAATCGCTGGGTTTCCCTTCTGCCAGTGCGTCCCATGCCCGACAGGAGCAGATGGTGTTGTGATGGATGCCTGCTCCCCCTTTGTACCCTGTGGCTGCCCCTGTTCCCTCATCACACAAATGGCCGGGCCCCAGGCTTGCTTCAAAACACAGATTTATGATCAGAGCTCTTCTCATCTTTCCTTTTATCTTTCTTGCACTGAAGCAAATGTAACACTTGATGGACAGCCCTGCTAAACCTATTTAGGTAATCGCTGAGCCCAGATGAAGGTCACCCTGCCAAACACTCATAATTCCCATTCGGCACTATAAATATGCATTTGATTCATTGTCTCCGGTCCCTTCCATCACGGCATACCAGCAGCCCCCCGTCCCTCCCCGCAGTGATGTGAGTCACTGTCACGGCTCTGATGCTTTGTCCATGGCAATAATTGTAATTCATGCTCTGAAAGTGTCCAGGGAGCTGCGCTCCGGGTTTTCGATCATCACTGGGATGTGATGGCCAAGGGTTGGGCTGGAGTGGAGTTGGGGTGAAGTAGAGGGGCCTGGCTCCCCTGGGAGCCCCTAGAAAAGGTGGTCCTGGATGACGATAAGTTCCCGATGATGATAAATTCCCTTCTGTTGGTGGCTTTGGGGGTGAGACCCCACGTCCTGTACACTCGGGGGAGGATGCTACTGCTCAGGGGACCGAAGCTTCCCCTGGGGGGGTCTGGTGCTGCCAGCAATGCATGCTCTGGTCTGCTGCAAGGCCGATGATTAATAAACATGAAAGAAATAAAATCAAATTCCATCCATGGCCTTCCCGACCGGTGCTAAGGGGGGGCTCCCTTCAGGTTTTCAACCGGTTCCCTGGCTGGGGCAACGAAAGCGCTCGGACGCCCCAGCAAAGGACGGCGGGCGGCGCCGCCCGGCTGCCAGGT